GTCACATTTCTATTAATAACTAAACCCAAAAAGACCAGACAACCTTGCCAATTCAAACCAAAAGCCATATGGATCTGCTCCAGCAAAGCCCACACTGCTTTACTGAGAATTCAAAGGGAGGCTTTAGCTGATATGAGAAATCGTGCTCTGAATTCCACAGTCAGAGCAATGGAGACACAGAGGAGCAAAAGTGAAGTGGGTTGCTAATGACTTTGGAAAGTTGGCCATCCTTCTTGAATGGAATACATACTGATTGAGGCAGAGAACAATCTTCCTAACCTTGAACTCATGACCCTTTCTCCCATTTCCCATTATCTGAATAATTAGAGGTGCCATCTCCCAAGCCCATCTAGTTCTTACATTTTTTCAAAAAAATGCATGGAATTTTATCCCCACCTTATATTCTGTTTATTCTAAAGATTAGCAGACTTATAACCTTACAGGCAAGTTTGACTGTTAATAAATTTCTACTCTTAAATTTCTAGTTCTAGGGTAGAGGTTGGCATAGTTGTATGGGCATTCACAGGGGTGCAGTGTTTTCAATGCATTCATAGCTCAACCTAAGCTGGCTTGAGCGTCTTTGAAAATGAATTATCAGATTTTCTATCTAGCAGCAGATGGTTCATTTTCAAGTGACAGATCAAAAGCTCAGTTTCACACAGAAATGAACATGTATTTCTCATGCAGGTTCTAAGTTTTAGCTATTCCATGTTGGGTTTGGGGCATGATGTTCTACCTAGCGTGTGTCTCAACCTCTGGAACCAGCAACATGAGGTAGGCTCCTTCATGAATATAAAGTAGGAGACCAAACACGCAAGTCCAACAGGGCAAGCACGGTTGATACCTCTGTTTGAATTATGTCTACTAACTTCAAATTAAAACTCATATCCAAGCCCTGGATCAAAGTAGGGGACAACACACCACCAGCAAGAGGCAAGTCGTAGTCATGCAAGACAGAAATATTCCCTCACTATCACCTATGAATGCATAAGAAAAAATGAACACTTGTGGAAGGCAATTTAACTGTCCCTTGTTCATCAACCAATCATCAGGAAGAGGCCCCACAGACATGCACACAGGTCAATCTGATAGAAGCAATTCCTCAGGTGGGGTTCCCTTATCCCAAGTTACAAGCAAAGCTAGCCATTGTGGGGGTCCAGAGAGATGGAGAAGAGGGAAAACACAGGAAATATTAAAATCCACCAGACCAAAGGGTAGAGCTCAAGAAAGAGAAAAATGTGAATATATTTTTAAAAAATAACACACTTAGAGAACTTACTTTGGCAGACTATCCAAGAAAATGAAAGCATTTAATTTTTGGACACAGAATTTGCATCCGTGAAAAATTAGCCATGCTGATCCACACGGGAGCTGGGAAACTGCATTTTCTGTGTCTAATTCGGTTTGGAGAGTCTAAAATCAGATGCAGAGGTTTGTGGTATCAATCCCTCTATTTCATCAAGAATCATATAATTTGCCCCCAAATTGTGTACCTTGCACTAAGGTGACTGTCCACTCTCCTGTCTAAACAAAAAATTGCCAACATTCTGGTGTGAAGCATGGCGTATATTAAAAATGAATATGAGTTTTGGCCTTTAGACTGGGTTGGCCTAAGATTGGGCAAACATCTTCTTTCTTTGGCCTATGCAAGGCAGATGCAGAGATAACCAGGTGAGTAGCGATGTCCAGTGACTACGACTCAAGCCATGATAATGTTCTCCTTCCATCAGTGCTGTCGGAAAGATGGTCACTAGACAGCCATGTCCACTGAGCGCCTGCCACATGGCTGGGGTAAGTAAAATACTCAGCCATCATTAATTGTATTTCATTTTAATTAATTGAAATAGCTTCATGTGGCAAGTGACTGCCATATTCCTTAGCACAGTTCTCGAATCCTGCCATACTCCTTTAAGTACTCTAAAGCAGCTTCCGGGCCAGGCACTGCAAATTCACAACCTCCTGCTAGCAACTGACTGCCAAGGAGCAAATAGTGGAAGGTGGAATCTCAGCAACTCCTTCAGTTGTCAAAAAAAAAAAAAAAAAAAAAAAAAAGCCCCCAGCTTCCAGTCAGACACCTGACTGTGCAACCATTGCAGAGAGACAATTTAGTTCAGAATGATATGCTACCCTGACCGTACCTGGCAGGTGCCTTCTGTGCTGGCTTTTTCTCTCTGCAAACTTGAGAAAGATGACAAGGTTTTAAATGACGAACTCCTGTGGGCCACATTACTTAATTATACAGTACATCCAGGGATAGGCACATGGGTCTTTTATGGTAAATGATATGACGGTCTTAAAAACTCATTAATATGTCATTAACCAAGCAGACATTTACTAATTAAACAATTAGCCCCTCTGTTCTTTTCCTTTGTTCCTCCCAGAGATGCTTGGTTACCCCGGTCCCCAATTTAGCAGAAGGTCCTCTTCTTTTCCCAGAGAAAATCACTCATAAAGCAAATTCTGAGACTAAACGATTTTGCCAATTTTTTTTCCAACTTGGCCACAAAGAAAATCAGATCTGATTTCCGTAGCACATATGAATTTGGGTGTTGATCTAGTTCAAATAAATCATCCTGATATGTAAACCAATTTTAGACATATACAAAATAGCATCTACAATAATCAGCATAAACAATGGATACTGCAAAACTATATATACTAGTTAAATAAATACAAATGGACAAGATTAATGACTTGAGATGTGTTATGATTCACCATATGAAGTCAGTTCCAAATAAATGTATAATGTTCTTAACTTTGGCTCTCAGACAGTTTTTAATATGCATTATGTTGTCTGTTAAGTTTAGCTTAATTCTATTTGTTGCGTTGACATTGTACTAACTTGCAGTGTAAGGGGGGTTGTCTAGCATATTAAAATAACACATAGCAAGAGTTTTTTGAAAAAAATGTTTTATGTATTAAAAAAGCTTGACATTGTTTTAAATTTAGAGTATGCATTTCTAAGAAGAGTCGAGAGCCATGGGATTCGTGAATATGGACTCAGATGCATTTATGGCTGCATATTCCTATTTGTTGGGTTGACTAGAGAGTTCTAGGTAGTCTCATAAATCTTCTGTTGACTGAAGGCATTGCACATTAACAATGAATCAAGAGCTGGGTTGTAATCATTATGCTCCACATGATGATAAAAGGATGCAGCTGGGTATCCAGGATTCAGATTGTCCAGATAATGGCAAACGTATACAGCTGGTATCTAGTGTCTGAACATTCCAGATGTGATAAAAGGATACAGGGGAGATGCTAGAACTTCACCAAAGGAATTCCAAAACATCATTATCTTGGACAGATTTTGCTTTCTTGGTTTTTCAGTGGATGGGAAAGCTGAGCAATCCGCACGTGCATGCACACACACACACACAAGGTCTTTCATTGTACTATTTCTGGATTTGAGTCTTGAGAGAAATAATCTCTTGAAAAATAAGAAGCAAATTGGCTGTCACCTTCATAAAATGGGTACAAAGGTGTCAAAGGAACTACTTTGCCACTATAGCCAGGCAACAGTGACCTATAGAATGTCTGCTTTATGGAAATACTTTTGTTCTTAACTTCACTAAAGACTGGCAGATAAACCTAATAAAACTCAAAACTTAGGAATCCTGAGTCTCAAAACACTGATGTAAGCTTTTGTAAGACCATGGGTGGGGTGTTTCTTACTTTTGCATCTTCATGAAATAACTGCTAAAAAAGAGCTAAGGGTGGAAGGAAGCCTTTTTTAGCTCACAATTTTCAAGTTTTTAGGCCATCGTGATTATAAGGGCTCAGTGGAGAAGAAGCATTCAATTCAGGAAGAAGAGTGAAGATTAGCAATACCCCCCAAAGGCCAACTCCCTTAACTTACTTCCTCCAACTATGCCTGTCTCCCCAAAATTTCCAGAACTTCCCACAATAGTGTCTCCATCTGGAGCTCAAGCATTCAATTCATGAGCCCTGGGAAGGGAGCCATGCTAGGTGGGGAAGTCAGGTTACAGTCAGGAAGCATCCTTTGTCTTTCTGCTAAAAGACCTCAATGGTGTGGAAGATAGGACATGGGTCTCCATTTCTCCACTCTAATATTATCTGATATAAATATTGAATTTCACATCAGTTTTTGTTTGTAAATTGGAACACTGTTTTTAAAAAATTCTACAAATTATTCAAGCTTTGGGTCACGTAAAATCTGGATCATTCTTGAGCTAACCAACATCTTCATTGCTGAAATTAAATCAAGGATGCGCACATTGCATGAAATTAAACTTCAGCGGCTAGAATCCAGTATAAGAGACAATTTGGTTTTGCACTAAGCTGAGGAGTTACTTTAATGTGACATGTTTCAGGCTCTTTTTGCAATGTGCTCCATGGTGTTTTGGTAGCTTTCTGCCCGAAGAAGACTAGAAAACCAATGCCTTATAGAAAATGCTGGGCTGGGTTCCCAGCTCTAGGAGCCCCTCACCTCCGCATCACTAACCAGCTGCGTGACCTCAGCAAAACCATTTCCTCCCACCCCTTCTATGCTCTTCTCTAAAACAGAAATGAGTGCTGAGTCCGTAGATCTAGGGCACTTGAAGGAAGGAGCCCTGCCCCCTTCCCTCCGCAGGGACTGGCATTTTACCAAGAAGCATACCTGGGTCTTCAAACTCACTTTGAATTTAATAAGTGCAAATGGAAGCAGAACTTCCCTTCCTGGTCTAAAACAGACAATTCCAGAGAAGATAGGAGACATGAAAATCAGCGGGAACTTTTAGGAGGAGAAATGTAAAATTGAGGGCTTGCTCACGTTGGCCTTCTCACTACTATCGAATCCCCAGCAGCCTCCAATATTGTTTTTGAACTTCAAGCGTAATCGTATTTTGTCTATCACACATACTGCTTATCTGATTTCCTCCAGTAAATTCACTGATAAATTATACTTTCGTTCAACCACTGTGATCCCTTACAAGCTGCTGAAGTTTAAATGTTTACGTTCCCCCGAAGTCTTACAAATGTATATACTTAAGTCTTACCCACTGTGGGTCTCTAGGGCGCCTTTGTAAAGTGACCAGGATATGACAGCAAATCCCTTATGACTGGGTGTAGTGACCTTGTGAAATTGGTCCAAGGGAGTTTGTCCCTTCCAACACCTGAGGATAAAGCGCAAAGGCATGACTTAAGAACCAGAAAGCAGCCGTGACCCAGGACCAAATATCTTCCCCCATTGGTCCTGAACTTCCAAGCCTCCAAATAAAAAAGAAATATCCAACATTTACTGTTTATTAATTGCTCAACCTGTGCTCTCTTGTAACATCAACCAAAACAGACTGACAAGGGAAGGGCTCAAGGGCTTTGAAGACACAAGAAGTAAATTAAATGAAAATTACTTGTTGTCTATAAATTACTATAAAAATACCTACCTACAGATTCTAATTTGGTTCATGAACGTTGTTCTCATGTCTTATGAAAATGTCCTCTTTTAGAAAGAAAAGAAAGGGGCTGGAGAGGTGGCTCACTGGCTCAAGACTCTTGTAGAGTGCTCAGCTTCTCCTCCCAGAATCCATATAGGGCTAACTCACAGCAAATGGTTCCAGGGGATAGGGCACCTTCTTCTGGCCTCCATGAGTACTTACACACATGTGGTGCACATGTTTTCACTTACACACACATACACATACATCTAAAACTAAATAAAAAATTTTAAAAAATAGGGTATGATGTCTCTAAACTCTGGAGAGAAAGTTTTACATCCAAAGGCACTTACAATAGATACTTCAACAGAGAAGGTGTCAGAGGGCAAGGCCCCCATTATCTGGCAATTCCTGTAACATTGAACAGCAACAAGTCTGAAAACTGTCACTTAACTTTACAAGCCTGCTGGGATGCCTTTGGTCAAAGAATTCTGATGGATAAAAATTTTCAAGAAGATTTCAAAAGTAGATGTGAGAGTAATGAACAGGCCCTCACCTCCATGGGTGGCGCTGCTTTCATTGCATGCAAATAAACTTCCCGCTAATTTAAGACTTCTTTCTCATCAGCATATACTTTTAACATAAACTTTGATCCGAGGAAGAAACTGGATGTCACCAATAAACTTGGTTCGGACTTGTATTAGTCGTGGAGTCAAAGAATCCCGAGCTCAGATTCCAGTAAATACCTGCAAAACAGGGCAAAAGCCATTTGACATTTCAACACTGGAAAGCATTTGCGTGAGAAACCTCTTCATAAAGAGAAGATCAATCCCCCTTCCACTGACTGAAGACAAAATTAATTACCAAGGTTGGCGGAAGATAAATGGCTCCCATGTACCGAGCTGTGTAATTATAGCAGCTGCAGAGCGAGGAACCTGCTCCTAACTTTGAACCCCAACCCCAACCTGACATTTCTCCCCACACTCGGAGCTGCCACCAGCAAGCGCTCTGTAATTACACGTTTGGGGTACAGCGGTAATCATTGGCTCAATGGCCAGCGTGAAACCTTATCATTTTCTGGTTTGCAAAAGGTATGCTGTATCGTCTTTTGAAGTGTTGAAATCTCCAGAGAGGGAAATTTATTAGAGAGAAGTTACTGTTATGGCAACAGACTTAATTCTGCCATAACATGTCAAATTAACAACCTTCCTTAGGACTGGGTTCCACGCCAAGTTCAGAAACAGGCAAGTATTGAGAAGCAGTTTCTGAAGTATCACTGTAGGGTTGAGTAGCGCCAAGGTAAACAGCGCAGTTTATCTCACCGGTCCCGTGTTTACTTCAGAACAACACGGGTTGGAAAGAGAAGCAGTAAGAACTGAAGAAATACTCTGAGCGGTTTTTTTTTTTCCTTCCTTTTTCCAAACAGCAAAGAAGGCTGTCATTAAGGCTCCGTGGAGGTTTTGATTCTCTCTTTGAAGCTGAGAGGAAAGTTTTTAATCTGATCTTTAATTTTAATCCTTTAAAATATGTAAGTGATTTAGAAATGTGCACGTGACAATTGGCAGAAGGCCTTTCTGGTAAGAAGCTGAGCAATTTCTTTCAACTGTGCAATAATAAAGGAGTTCAAAGCCGGCTGGCGAAGCTACCTGGGGACCTCAGCCACAAGCTTCAATCCACTGATTTTAAAATGTCCCTTATCGAACATGTTTAGGAGAGCAAAAGCATGTGATCCAAATTGCGAAAATCACAGGGAACTATCAAAGAAATCTACTCACACTTGCAAAGTATTTCTCTGTTTACTTGTGAAGAAAGAAATACAATATGAGTTTTAGGACAGTCGTGTGGGGACCCAAAGGGAATTTGTTTTTTTCCAAAACATCCAGCCATTCTACTTGTATACTCATATGATAAATATTGCTTAAGAGAGTCTGGTTTTATTCCATACTATAGTTATATATTTAAGCCTGATAATGGTTTTCTAGTTATTTTGATAAACACAGACACACAGATGAGCACAAACACACCACTTCCTGCTTAGCAAATAAAATATCTATCTGTTGTGTTCTTGTATGTAAGTTAGGGTTTCAGAAAGAATATTTCAAGAGCGGTTTGTGTCTTCCACAATGTCTGCCTGGGAACCTGAACAGTATGGGTGTGTTAGCCAACCTTTAATAACTACAAAAATATCTGAGATAACCAACTTAAAACTAGAAATCTAGTTTGAATCTTATGGTTCTTAAGTTTTCGGCCTTGAGGGATTTTTTTTTTCTCCATTGCTTTTGTGCTTCTGTCAAGGCAGCCGGTGTGGGAACAGGTGGCAGCAAACCACTTGCTCCAATGCTTCATGAAAGTGTGAGACTCACAGAGAGAAAGACAGAGACACACAGAGAGACAGAAACAATGAGACGTGTAGAAAAGAGAACCTGTCTAGCTTGTCTCTCCAAATCGTTTCAAGGGTGTGTCTAAACACCCAAAGACCTCCCATGAGATCCAAACTTATAAACACAACAAATATCAATCGTGCCCCCCTTTTAACAGGGGACTTTAAGATGATATTCATGATCAGAAAAGTCAGCTAACCGGATGACTGAAATTACATTCTGTCTCACCCACACGTCTACCTGGTGCTTTATACTGGCCGTCAGCTGGGCCCTCACCTGGGAGCCTGGAAAAGAATCCTATCACTTCTTCTCAATATGGGGAGTGGATATTAGCTGATAGCCCAAAGACAAGAAATGGAGGCCCCGGGATCTTAAGGCCTGAACACAGCAGTTCTTCCACAGTTGATGAGGCTGAATCATAGGTTGAGACACAGCACACCCCTTCCACCTGAAGGCAAGTTAAAATTCAGGGTCTCTCATGGGAATGGAACCTGTCATCACAGTCCTATGGTGGGCGTTCACTTCAGACTTCAGCCCATTCTCATTAATTCTACAACAGTGAACACCTCTGTTACTTAGCTCTCATTTCCCAGGAGGCTTTGCAGTGCTATATTCCTTACACCTGTGTGGTAGTTTGAATGGATTTGGCCCCCAGAAACTCATAGGGAGTGGCCTTATTAGAGTAGGTGTGGTCTTTCTGGAGGAAGTGTGTCACTGTGGGGGCGGACTTTGCTGTCTTTTTCTCAAGCTATCCTTGACATGACTGTCAGCTGATTTCCTGCTGCCTTCAAGATGTAAGACACTCAACTATTTCTCCAGTACTGTGCCTGCCTGCATGCTGCCATGCCCCCCACATGATGGGCTTAACCTTCGAACTGTAAGCGAGACCCCTCAATTAAATGTCTTTATAAAAGTTGCTATGGTCACAGTGTCTCCTCACAGCAACAGCAAACCCTAACGAAGACACCCCGCCCTTTCCTCCCCACCATTCTGCTCCTTTGCCATCCGCCATCACAGCCAATCTCCAGTCCTCAAGTCCTCTGCCATCGCCTATTGGGTGCCCATCATTAATCGGGGGGGGGGGGTGTTATGGCACTTGTTCAATGAAAAAAACACAAAAGGAATTAAAAACCATAATCAAGTGCGAGAACTGAAGGGGAGCAGGGCTGAGCCCCACAGTCACCAAAACCCTACAAGAGAATCATTCCCCAAACTTCTGAAAGGAAACCAGTGCTAATCTTCTCCTATGGTTGTGATGCTTTGTAAGAAACACAGGTACTAACTGACCCAAGTGAACCCTCTTTTTACGGTTTTTGTTTTTGCTTCAGAGTCACATGAACTAGTTAGAATTCCTGTCAGCTTCTTGACTAGTTAATGTAAATCAAGAAAAGTAAGAGAGTGGAGGAGAAAGTTAAGAGTCTGTGTTAAACTATCCCGAGTAAAATGGGGGGTTATGTACAAGAGTCAGAAAACCAACTTGGACATCCGTGATCAGAAAGGTTATGGAAAATTTTATTTCAAATGCACAAAATCTACCTGACCTAGCACATTGTTCGCTGCTGCAGAAAAACAAACCATAAAAGCAAGCAGGCAGAGTGTGGGAACAGGGAGGTGATTTTATTTTATATTTGATGTTTTTATTTATTTTTGAGAATTTTGTAAATATATTTTGACCATATTCCTTTTCCTCTCTAACTTCTAGATCCTCCTCTTCCTGTCTACCAACTTCATGTTCTTTCTCTCTTAAAAAATATACAGAGAAATGAAACATGGGATCCAGTTTGTGCTGATTACTGAGCATGGGGCCTGCCCTGAATGCAGTTGATAAACCCAGTATCATTCCAGTGATGAAAGCTGACGTTCTCCCTACCAGATATACGATTTCTTTTTAAAAGATCAAATTGAGTCAATAAACTTGGCTCCTGTTCTTAATTCAGCTGTTAACTGTTGGCAACTACGGGCATGATCATTCTGAGCCTTGGCTTCTCAGTTTGCAACAGAACATACCATAAATTGTAAGGATCAAATGATATATTTAATGACTGAGTAAACTTTGTGTAAATTCTATGTAAGTTGCCATAAATTTACACAGAAAACACCTGTAAATTTAAAGTATATGACCTTAAAGTCATGTTCCATTCAAGAATGAAAGCATCATATAAGTACCTCTTAGAAGATTTTAACCAAAAAAGTGGAGAAAACCAAGCAGAGTGCTAAACACAGAATTGGCACTAAAGAATGCCCCCAGTGAACTGCACAGACTACTCTTCAGATTATAAAAGTCAAATATAGGGAGGAACCCAGGGTACCACTCAGAATTTAGAAAGGCCACATAAAAGTTACTGGCTGGGCAGACTCTGGAAGGTAAGAAATGGGGAAGGTTTTATTATAAAAAGATCAAATACGATGAATATGATATCAGAGGGTTGGGACTCCATGGGAAAATTAAGTGTTAAGACATGAGGGCAACTGAAATCTTATACCCATAAACAACAAAAACAGACTCAGCAGGTTGTATTTATATACGTTCGTGAATATAATTGCAAGTATATATTATGTTACAATAATCAAAGAAAAAAAGCTGTCAACTTGGGGGGGGGCATGGGAGGAGTTCAAAGGAGAGTAACTGAAAAAAAACTGGATGGAGGAAAAGAGAGAAAATGATGCAATTCTATTTCAATTAAGAAACATTTTATCAAGACACATGAGAGAAAAATAGGATGAGAATTAATCTTAAGATAAATGGAATTTCCCTAATATCAAACATGGACTTTGTAAGTATCAATCAAAAGAAGTGTGAGAAACAAAGGGGAAAGTCCAAAAGGGTGGAGAATTCACAAAGAAGACGTGGGCACGAGTATTTCAGCAGTCACGGGCAGTAAAGAGAATTGAGTGTTTCTGTCTGCTCTCACTATCCAGACCTATTCACCATCCCAACTTCACCAAAGAGGAATGCCATCCAGTTCTCAAAAACACAGAGCCTGGGTTCTGTGCTTTGGTCTTACCTGAACTAAGAACAAGAATACAGTCAGTTAAAAGATCCTGACAGGTATGGCCACAGGTGTACTCACTAGGGCAAGAGAAGCCTTTGCAGAAATCTGATTCTCATAAATAGAAAACACTGTGTTGACATACATTTTTTTTCTATCATTATTGTCCATCCTCAGTCTCAGATCTATCAACCACATCTAAATAGTCATGATTTAACATCTATGAGATTTTGGTCATGACCAGTTGGTGGTCTAGATTATTATATTGATTATTAATACTGAATATTGATGTTTCAACTGTTGCTGATTGAATAAGGATTTCTGCAGAGATCATTGGTTATGAAAATGCTGATTATTGTGTCATTTATTGATGTGGGAATAGTTTCTTATTAATAAAGAAACTGCCTTGGCCCATTTTATTGGATAGAAAATTAGGTAGGCGGAGTATACAGAAGAGAATGCTGGGAAAAAGAAGCTGAGTGAGGAGTCGCCATGGTTCTCCTGCTCCAGACAGACGCAGGTTAAGATCCTCCCTGGTAAGCCAGCTCGTGGGCTACACAGAATATTAGAAATGGGTTAGAACAATATGTAAGAGCTAGCCAATAAGGAACTGGAACTAGCCGGGCTAGGCAGTGTTTGAAAGAATACAGTTTCCGTGTAATTATTTCTGGGCATAAGCTAGCCATGCGGGCGGCCGGGTGCCGGGGACGCAGCCCTGCCGTCCCTATTTCAACAATTTATACAGTATTATTTCATTGAGTGGGGTTAGTCATTTTCCCATAGAATCCCTAGCAATGTAAAGAATTCATGTGAA